TATGGTAACTCTGTTCTTAATTTTTTGAGGAACCACCATGCTGTTTTCTATAGTGGCTGTATCAATAATTGTTGTTTTTAAGTTTGCTTAGTTGTCTTTTTACATATTATGAATTTATTCCCAAATTCTCCCACAAGGCTGGCCAAACACTGCAGGTAATTTTCATTTTTGTTTCGGAAACATCTCTTTTGGCTCATTCTGCCTTCCTTGTTCAGTCTGAACCTGCTGTGTAGACCTGCTTCAGTACTGCCTACCTCACACTTCACTTCATCTCTATCCTGAAGATTTTCTTGTCCTCCTGTCTGTGTGGACCACTGATTCCCACAAACCAAGTCTTATTTATTGGTTCATTCCTTGGGGTGGGAGAGTACACCCTTTAGGAGCCTACAGAGAAAAAGCCCATGAGAAGTAACATTTTTGGAACCTCTCTTTTCTGAAAATGTCTTTCTTTTCCCTTCATAATGAATTGGTCAGTTATGAATTTTCATAACAAAATTCTTTTGAAAATTATTTCACTCTGAACCTTGAAGGCACTGTTCCACTATTTTCTAGCTTTCGGAGTTTGCTGTTGAGAAGTACAGTGCATTCTCATTCTTTATCTTTTTTTTTTAAGTTTACGCAACTGTCAAATTCTCCCTTTGCAGGGAGCAGTCTCTTTTTTTGTAATCCTCACTCGAGGACATTTTTGCATGTATCTTCAGATAGAGTGAGAGGGAGGAAGAGAGAGAGAGAAACATTAATGTGAGAGAGACACATCGAGTAGTTTACCACCCACATGACCCCAACCAGGGCCGGGGACAAACTGCAACCGAGGTACATGCCCTTAGCAGGAACTGAACCCGGCTCTCTCTGGACCATGGGCTGATGCTCTAACTGCTGAGCCAAACCCGCCGGGGCCTGTCTCTGGTTTTGACAGATGCACAGAACTGTATACCCTTTATTACAGTCACAGTGCAGACCAGTTTGATACTTGGAACTTTTGAATGAACCCTTTAACTCTAAAGCTTTTAAAATCCTTCTGTTTGTCTTTGATCTTTGGAGGGGATGCTCTGTCTTCTGGGGAGTCTTGATGCTTACTCTGAATACAAACTGGAAACTCATATTTTTGAGATTTGGGGAAATTTTTCTTGGATTATTTATTTAATTATTTCCTTCTCTGTGTTCTGTTCTTGCTTTTAAGAACTCTCATTTGATCTCGTGAACTGATTCTCTAATTTTCTTTCTGTTGTATATTTCTTTGAGATTTCCTGAACTTTTAACTTTGCTGACATTTTAGTGGGATTTTTGGAAAAAGGGAAGATAAACTAATGAGTTTAATGTCTTTTATTTTTATTTGTTTTTTTTTTTTTTTTATCCTCACTCGAGGGTATTTTTCCATTTTTTTTTTTTGTACAGATAGAGTGGGAGGAAGAGAGAGGAAGGGAGAGAGAGACAGAAACATCGACGTGAAGGGACACATCGAGTGGCTGCCACCCGCGCGACCAACCAGGGCTGGGGACAAACTGCAACCGAAGTACATGCCCTTAGCGGGAACCGAACCCGGGTCTCTCCAGACCGCAGGCCGACGCTCTAACCGCTGAGCCAAACCGGCCAGGGCTCTTTTATTTTTAACTGACAATCCTGGCTTCTAGTTTTTCATCCTATTTTAATATCTCACATTTCTCAGCTTAAAGAAATTCAAGGTAATTTGGTATTTGCTGCTTGTGTCTGTGTATCTGTGTGTTTAAGTCTTCTAAAAGTTGAGATTGAATTAGGCATGGATGCTTAAGAAGAAATCTTCTCAAACAGTTTCCCTCTATATGCCCCATGATTAATTGCTATTAACTTTTAAACATTTTAGCAGTTTTGTAAATATATAGAACAAGCAAATCACTTTTTAAGTCTTGATGTCATTTTTCAACAATTCCAAATGAGGTTATTTTATCTCTAATTTTCATATTATTGCTTTCCCCAAGTATTTCTTCTCTCTAACCCTGTGTAATTATATTTCATTCAGATAACATTTATGAGATTGCTAAATGTGTGCTGATATCATATACATAATAGTGTAGCAAGTCCAGATTACTTGGGGATCTCAATTTATTTAGTTCTACAGATTCTGTGTTTTTAGTTTTTGGCTTATTGCCTTTCTCTGCTCAGCATATAAGCTCAACTCTGCTAAAATAATCACATATTTTCCTGAGGGGGTCTCTCATGTGAAGCTCAAGTCTTATAAAAGTTAAAACCAGCTCCTCTTTTGTTCCTAGAGTGGAGCAGTCTTATCAGAAGGTGATGACCCTTTGGCATCAGCTACATATTAACACCAAAAGCCTTATCTCCTGGAACTATCTGAGGAAGGACCTTGACTTTGTAAAGACCTGGAACCTGGAAAAGGTAATTATGAAAGCATTACCTCAGGCTCACATTCTACTGGCAAGCTTTTTTCAGAAGGAACTTTTTTTCATTACTGTGAGACTCCTACCCACCCAATCAGAATAAAATGGAGTCAGGAAGACTGGTTCAGGGTTAAGGGCCTGAGGTTCTTAGGAACTAGAAACAGCAGCCTGAATGATTAAGGAAATCCCTGATGAAAATTAATAACATATTTGGTCTTCTTGGCAGAGGGAGAAGGTTGTAGGTTTCTTCTCACTGCAGGATCAGCATCTCTTTTGCATAAGTACATGTAGTAGGGGAATATAATGAATTAATTCTTATTAAGGATTATGTCCAAGGGTGTACAAAGGGTGCTTCCAGGATGCTAGTAATGTTCTGTTCTTAATCTAAATGCTGATTACGTGGACAAGTTCACTTTGTGAAAAATCAGCATGTTTACAGTTATAGTTTGTACATTATTTTGTGTCTATGTTAAATGTCAATAAAAAGAAAGAGAGCAAGAGTGTTATGTTCCTATTCTGTTGAAATTTCTTCTGACTTTTCCTGTCTAGCTTCGGTCGTCAACACCAGGGGAGTGTCACCAAGTTATGAAGACCCTGCAGGCCCACTATGAAGACTTCTTGCAGGATAGCTGTGACTCGGTGCTCTTCTCAGTGGCAGACCGTCTGCGTTTGGAAGAGGAAGTGGAGGCTTGTAAAACCCACTTCCAGCACCTGATGAAATCTATGGAAAATGGTGTGTGCCTTGGGAAGAGGACAGTCCTGGTGGAACGGGAGCTCTGAAGGGTGCTGCAAGACCCTTCATATAAACTAAAAAGTACTGTCACCACTAAAATCTTGAGAGAGAAGAACTTTTAGAGATGAATTCAGATCATGGAAGAAGAGACCATATTTTAGTCTTTATTGCTAATCAACCTATCACATTTTCTTGTGGAAATAACATGTTTGGATCCTTAAAGATCATATGATGCAGGGAATTAGAATCAGGCATAAGGTTCCCCATATAAGGGCCTTACTTTCACTGGTGGACTGTCAGGTCTGCTGGAACCATTGGTACTCTCTGTCTGAAGGTGAATCTGTTTTTCCTAGGTTTACTGATCTCTGGTGTAGTGCTTAGTAGTCTTCTGTGCTTGTGCATTCACAGAGGACAAAGAGGAAACTGTGGCCAAGATGTACATTTCAGAGCTGAAGAATATCCGGCTTCGCTTGGAAGAGTGTGAACAGAGGCTAGTCAAACGAATCCAGACCCCAGCCAGCTCTAGGACTGACAAAGATGCCCGGCAGGACAGCGCATTAAGAATTGCAGAGCAAGAGGTAAGCCCTAAGAACAAGGTGGGTGTCGGTTGCACAATAAATGCTTTCAGAATGAATTGGGTGGTAAGAGAGTATGGGTCCTAAGAAATAAGGCAATAGACTCATGTAAATCCTACTTCCCTACAGTCTGTAAATACCTTTTACCTGAGGAAAACCTTGATTTTGGCTCCCAGTGTATGGCTGAATGTTAATTAATTTCCTACTCAGTTTGGAAGGCAAGCAAACTGGTAAATTGCTCTAAGTGCTGCATTTGGGCTGTGCATTTAAAGACTGCACAGTAGAGATGCTGCTGTCTGCTCTGTCTCATATGTATGTGTTATTTTCTATTACATGGTTACTGTTATTCATGTGATTCAAAAATATTAAGGAATGAAGCAGATTTTACTCTGGGTTCTAATGCACTTTCTCTGTGACTTTAAGCAAATTAACTCTCTCTCTTTTTTTTTTTTTATCCTCACCCGAGGATATTTTTTTCCATTTTTCATACAGATAGAGTGAGAGGGAGAGAGAGAGAGAGAGAGAGAAACATCGACGTGAAGGGACACATTGAGTGGCTGCCACCCGCACGACCAACCAGGGCCAGGGACAAACTGCAACCGAAGTACGTGCCCTTAGCGGGAACTGAACCCGGGTCTCTCCGGACTGCAGGCCAATGCTCTAACCGCTAAGCCAAACTGGCCAGGGCTAACTCTCTTTTTGTTTTTAATTTATCTTTATTATTGAAAGTATTACAGATGTCCCTCCTTTTTTCCCCACATTGACACCCTCCTCCCCACTTCTGCCCATAACAGATTAACTCTTATCTTTAATTTCCTTCCTTATAAAATGGAGATAATATTTGAGCCACAGAGTTGTTTTGAAAATTAAGGAATATAGTATAATATACTAAACTTTCTGGAAAAGTAAAATGCTATAAAAATGTAGGGTAGTATTCTTGAAATAAAAGTAGCAAATACTAGTTGCTTTATCAAGTGCTCAGAGCCATGCAAAGAAAAGTAAGCCAAAATTCTTGCTTTCAGCTTACAGTGTAGTTAAAGAAGAACAACAGGTTGGCTCTGGCCGATTTGGCTCAGCAGTTGAAGTGTCGGCCTGCGGACCAGAGAGTCCCAGGTTCGGTTCCCGCTAGGGGCACATACAAAAAAAAGGACAACAGGTTGAAGTCACAATTAGAGACTTTAGAAAAAGAGAGGTTATAAGATAGTACCTAGTGTATTTCCAGATTTCCAAGCAGACATTGCTGTAGGAATTTAGAGTATTATAGAACATTTCTACTTGGGATAGTATGAGAGAGCTCTGTGAAGAATGTTAGATTTGGTGCTCGCTTTAGCAGTTCATATACTAAAGTTGGAATAATGCGGAGATTAGCATGGCCCCTGTACAAGAATGACTCAGAAATTTGTGAAGCATTCCATATTTTTATTGTCCTGTTTGCTCCAGGATTTTACTGTCACAGTATGCATACCATTTAATAAAAATATACCATCAAAAAAGAATGTTAGATTTGATCTGGGAGCTTAAAGGGAATAGAAGAGAATGGCTAATGAGAAGGAGTGGTTTTTTTCTTAACCTTTCTTAATTATTCTTAAGCTTAAAGAGGAGGTTTAGCGTGCAGTATGAATATCATTGGCCAAGAGGGATTTAATAAAACTATAATTCTCATTTTTTAAAAAGTTTTTATTGATTTTGTAGAGGGAGAAGAGGAGAGAGAGAGAGAGAAACATCAATGTGAAAGAGAAACATTGATTGGCTGCCTCCTGCACACCCCCTACTGGGGATATAACCTGCAACCCTGGCATGTGCCCTGACCAGGAATTGAACCGGGACCTCTCAGTTCATGGGACAATGCTCAATCCATTGAGCCACACTGGCCAGGCTGTAATTCTCATATTGAAGCATTTTACTTTTCTGTAGTCATCCAAAATCTATCTGTGCCTATAAAATCAAACATTCTAGGAAATAAATGTTAATATTCAGCTCTTCTAAAGGACCTTTTTTTTACTTTAAAAAAATAGTTCCAAATATACAGAAGTCTTTTTTGTTTTTTTGTTTGTTTGTTTTCCATTGACCTTTAGAGAGAGAGAGGGAAAAGGAAGAAGGGAGAGGGAGAAAGAGAAACATGGATTGGCTGCCTCCCATACTTGCCCCAACTGGGGATCAAATCCACAACCCAGGCCTGTGCCCTGACCAGGAATCAAACCCACTACCCCTTTATGTGTGGGATGATGGTCCAACCATCCTAACCACACAGGCCAGGGCTCAGATATACAGAAGTTTTTATTCTTCACCTAGATTTATCCTTTACCTAGATTCCCCAAATGTTAACTTTTTTCTACATTTGCTTTACATTTTCTTCAACATATATGTGTACATAATAATTTTTTTTTTCTTGAGAATAACTTCCAGAAATGATGCTCCTTTACCCCTAAATACTTCAGTGTGCATTTCCAAAAACAAGGATAATCCCTTACACCACCACAGGACAATGATTAAAATTAGAAAATGAATATTGATATATAAGACCTTATTAAAATTTTATCAGCTGACCTAATAATCCTTATTGGGGTAGCACCCCAACCCACCCTATTGTACTTGAAAAAAAATTTTTTTGGTAGAGGATTTAATACAGTATTTAGTAGAGGATTCAATCCAATCCATGCTTTGCATTTAGTTGCTGTATCTCTTTGTATTTCTTTAACCTGAAACAGCTTTTTTTTTTCATCTTTCATGAGTGTAACATTTTTTTAACAGTGCAAGCCATTTATTTTGCAGAATGTCCTTCTATTTGTGTTTATCTGAGGCTTATTCATGATTAGAAATAGGTTACAGCCCTGGCTGGTTTGGCTCAGCGGTTAGAGCGTTGGCCTGCGGTCCGGAGAGACCCAGGTTCAGTTCCCGCTAAGGGCACATACCTCGGTTGCAGTTTGTCCCCGGTCCTGGATGGGTTGTGCGGGTGGCGGCCACTCGATGTGTCCCTTTCACGTCAATGTTTCTCTCTCTCTCTCTCTCTTTCTCTCTCTCCCTCCCACTCTGTCTGAACAGAAAATGGAAAAATGTCCTCGGGTGAGGATTAAATAAATAAATAAATAAATAAATAAATAGGTTACATGTTTTTGGCAGAAATACCATGGAAGTGATATTGTGTCCCTGGTGATTAAAAGCAGGAGGCATGTGATGTTGATTTGTCCCATTAATAGTGATCATTTTTATCACTTGTTGCTATTTTCCTTTTTGTGATTACTAATTATTTTGTGGGGAGGTACTTTGAAACTATGTAAATATCTTATCTTACATTCAACTTTCACCAACTAGTTTTAGCATCTGTTGTCAACTCTTGACTGAATAATTATTAGTAGGATTGTTGCCAAAAGGGAATTTTGTAATTGTCATTCCTTTTAAATTTTTAAATTTCTGTTCTATCAAATGGGAAGAGCTGCTTCCCTCCCTCTCTCTTCTCTTTATGTCAGTATAGACTGATGAATTCGTATTTATTCAATGGTTTATAATTTGCTACTATCTTTGATGTTCAAAATTTTCCATATTTAGCCCTTGGTAGCCCCTTCAAGCTGGTTCCTATGTCATTTTAACATGTCATTATTCTTTGAGTGCTTTATTATTTCTCAGTAAAACAAGATATTCCAAGTTCATCTTACCCTAGCAAGCCACAACCCTGGGATCAGCCATTTCTCTAAGGAGCCCTGCTTCCTTTAGAGAAGAATAGTATTTAGAAACCAAGATCTGGGTGCTAGTATTTAGAAACCAAGATCTGGGTGCTGAGTATGCTCATTGTTGTTGGGGTATCATTGCTCAGCAGATAAGAGCTAGGAAAAATGCATATTTACAAACATATGCATACACACATACAAACACACTCCTGTATTATACACTGATTTATATATATGAACACATATATATACACATATATATTTATATATGTATGTATGTATATATATACACACGTATATATGAATATACTTATGTGTGAGTGTGTACCTATAAATATATTATGAAGGTAGATCAATGTATTTGTCAGACACACACACACACACACACACACACACACACACACCAGTGAAGTCATATGAGTCATATGTATCTTATCTCCCTCTGGTTCCACAGGGCTTATTCTAACCATTCTGCCTTTCCTTACTCAAGACTGAAAAACTTACTTTACGTTATCCACAATAAATTTACTTATTGTTCAGTTCTTACATGTACAGAGAGTGCTTCAGAATTGCTAACTCATACTACCACAAAAAACAAGCCTATTAACTGGAGTTCAACATTTATTTATAGTTATTTTTGTTGTTAGCCTGAAGGTATGTCAATAGTCCAGATACTTTGTTCAAAAATTACTTTTGTGTATTCTTCCCTCTTCTCCCCCTTCAGTACTGTTTCAGAGTTTATTCAACCATTCTCTTATAGATAGCATTTAGGTTGCTTTCAATATTTTGCTGTTTTAATTTCTTTAATCTATTTCCATCTTTATTGTATGTCTTGTTCCTGACAGCGTACCCAGGGTGACTTGCAGCAACTCAGGTCAGATCTGGATGCTGTTTCCATGAAATGCAACAGTTTTCTCCATCAGTCCCCATCTGGTTCATGTGTTTCAACTCTTCACTCGGAACTCAATCTGCTGATGGAGAAAATGGACCATGTGTATGGTCTCTCCACTGTCTATCTGAATAAGTGAGTGAGCTGAGGATTTGGGTCTAAATGGCAATGTTTTCCATTGGGATGAGAAGGGGCAGATCTTGATGAGCATGTACCCATGATAAGAGACCATAGTCTCTGTAGTTCCAAGTATGGAGTAGGTTCATTTGGCTCCACTGAACAAAAATACCAGTGGGAAAAGTTGATTTATAGTGTTAGGACTCCTTTGTACCTCATTTCTGTTTGATTAGATACCTCTGAAAAAAGAAGAAGAAAAAAGAAAAAGGGACACTAAGAAGAAAAAGAAAAATTTTAAGTAAATTAAATACAGGTCTTTGAAGCTCTTCCCTCTAACCACCCAATCTCCACCCGTGACCTTGAGGAGAAACAGATCATTGATGCTTCATAGTATTGAGTGGGTTTCTGACCTCACCTTTTCTCCCATGAGTCTACCATGTGTGTGCATGTCCCAGGGTCAAAATAGAACTTTATTTTGAATTGGCTTAAATTGGTACCACATATACCATGCTTTCTTATTTTTATGAAATTGATTTTGGCAGTTATGTTTTGTGAACCTCTCCTTAGTACTCCAGGTCTGTAGCCCAGCTCTTAAAATGCAGGCTTTAATGAAATGATTTTATCCTCACAGGCTCAAGACAATCGATGTTATCGTGCGTAGCATTCAGGATGCTGAACTCTTGGTCAAAGGTTATGAGATCAAACTGAGTCAAGAAGAAGCAGTGCCAGCAGATCTCTCAGCCCTGGAGTCCCATCACTCTACATTACGGGTTGGTTGCTCTGAGTTTCTTAGGAGGTTTACTTAATACAGTTATCCAATGCTTTGAGTTAGCAGAGAAGTATAGTTTTGGATGGCATGACACTGATTTTAAGTTTGCATTTGAACTAGGCAAAATATCATATTTAATATGTTAAAAATGGATTTAAAGAAGGGACTGAGAAATATGTCTAGCTAGAAAAGGGAGACGCTGGTTTTGCTTTGAGTTTGTAAATCACTTAGCTATTACTTCATTTGATTTTTCTAAGCAACTCTGTGAGGTGGATAGGGAAGGGATTTTTATCTTCATTTACAGATAAGAAAACCAAGAGTCAGAGTGGCTAAGTGACTTATCTTGGTTTTATAGCTTATAAGTGATAGAGCCAGGTTTCCAACACAGGTTCTTTGCACATTTCTCTATACTCTACTGCCTGCCCTTGGCTGCCGGTGTGTTTGAGTACTATGGAGGCATTTCTGGTACAAACATTATAGGGTCTAGCTACTGAATCACAGATTTAATGTAGAGCCAGCTGTAGATCTTGTCCTTGTTGTCTGCCCTAGTCTGAGTCTTTTACTTTTTAGCATGGAATACTTTAAATCTTGTGTTGCTGTGCTTGTGTTTTTATAGCACTGGCTTAGTGATGTCAAGGACAAGAATTCAGTGTTTTCAGTCCTGGATGAGGAAATTGCCAAGGCCAAGGTAGTGGCAGAGCAGCTGAGTCGTCTGACCCCAGAGCGAAACCTGGATCTGGAGCGCTATCAGGAAAAAGGCTCCCAGCTTCAGGACCGCTGGCACCGGGTCATGGCCCAGCTTGAGACCCGGTGAGTGGTAGCCCTACGCTTTTCTTCTATTAGGGTCCAGGGACTAGATTTTAAATAAAAACAGAGTTATATCTGTGTATTCTTGTTTAAAGGCAAGAATTGATAGGAGAGGTAAAAATTAAATGATGCTGTGAATTCTGGACAAGGTAAGTGACAGGAAGTTGGGACCAC